GTGAAGTTTTCTACAAATCTTTCAGTGGAGGAGCGAATGGTCCTCGTGACCGTTCTGCATCACAAAAGTCACTGATGAACTGTGATGAGTAGGTTTGGAGGGGCAACTAACCCGCGAAGCGTTCACTCACTCAGTCTGCAAGCCTTAAGTGTATGAAGGTAAGGGAAGAAAGAAAACATTGAGAGAATTTACGAGAAGAGAAGAGAAGAGAAGAGAAGAGAAGAGAAGAGAAGAGAAGAGAAGAGACGAGAAGAGAAGAGAAGAGAAGAGAAGAGAAGAGAAGAGATGTTTCTGTCAGCACAAAAACTCACTCTCTTCAATCAAAGTCATGCTATCAAAGACTTGAAACACGCACGACTTCTGTTTGTCATGATACATGAAATGCTAGACATGTTCTCAACAACATGACATGTCAGATCATTGCAACAGGTGGAAAGGTCTCATCAACGACCCTCTCCTCGACTCCTCCCACAACGTCGCCCATGGTCTCAGAACTGCCCGGTGAGGACAGAGTTAGCTTCCGCCCTCCTGACCTCCTCCGCCTGCTCAGCACGCTCCTCCGAGACATCAACAAGGCTGGGGTAGCGTGTGCTACGGAGTTCCTGGATCCGACGATCTCACTTGTGACTTGCTCCCTCACTGATCAACAGTGTGGGATGCTGAAGCTGCTGCAGTACATCTCAGATCTGATCAGCTACGGGTCTGTTGGAGCTCGCACATGCGAATCGCAGGTGATACTCCACCTCCTCCTTCCCCTACCCGTCGCCTCCCCACCGCCTCCCCTCCTCCTCCTCCTCCTCCTCCTTCCCCTCCTCCTCCTCCTCCTCCTCCTCCTCCTGCTCCTCCTCCTCCTCCTCCTTCCCCTCCTCCTTCCCCTCCTCCTTCTCCTCCTCCTCTCCTTCTCCTCCTCCTCTCCTCCTCCTCCTTCTCTCCTTCTCCTCCTCTTCTCCCCTCCTCCTCCACGTTATCGTCACCATCATCACCGCCACCACTTCATTTCACATCCATCTGTCTGCAGACGCATAGAGAAATGGCGTCCGGGCTCCGCATGCCTGTGGGGATCAAGAACCCGACCTCAGGGGATGTGCAGGTGGAAACATGAGACCTGAAAGAGAGACTGACCGGGTAGCAGGAAGCGGTCGATGCTGTTGTTGCAAGCTCTGCTGCCCATCACCATGTGGGGATCAACGAAGAGGTAACGGGATCCTGCTCCTCCTGCCCCTGCCCCTGCCCCTGCTGCTCCTGCTCCTGCTTCTGCTCCTACTCCTGCTCCTCCTCCTGCTCCTGCTCCTCCTCCTCCTCCTCCTGCTCCTCCTCCTGCTCCTCCTCCTGCTCCTCCTCCTGCTCCTCCTCCTGCTCCTGAAGCCTGCCAGGGGAATGTGGTTCGCAAGAGGACGACGGGGAACAAGGGAGCGCATGTGATTCTGCGAGGAGGAAAGTCTGGCCCAAACTACAACTTGACTACTATCTCCACTGCTGTAGACAAACTTGAAATCGCGAAGGTGAAATTGCATGCACCTTCATATGATGGCAAAACTCCTCCCTCCTCTCTTCTCCTCTCCTCTGGTCTTCCTCTGCTCTGCTCTGCTCCTCACCTCACCTCACCTCTTTTCTCCTCACCTCACCTCACCTCACCTCTCCTCTCCTCTCCTCTCCTCTCCTCATCATCCCCGCAGGTCAACTCTCGACTAGTTATCGACTGCAGTCACGGCAACAGCTTCAAGCAGCATCTCCTCCAGCAGCAGGTGGCTCAGCATATCGCGCAGCTAGTAGCGGAAGGGAACAGCAACATCGCCGGCGTTATGCTCGAATCTTTCCTGCTCGCTGGCAAGCAGGCGACCCCTTCGACCGTCCTCGAGGTTCCGCCGCCTCGTCCTCCTAAGCCCTCTCGTTCCTACCTTTCTCCAAATCTTCTTGTTTCTTGCTTCTAGATTTCCCTTCCTCCCTTCTGCCTCTCTCTCGCTCCCTTCCTCCCTCCCTCCCTCCCTCCCCTTGCCCCCCCCCCTCTCTCTCTTCTTGCTTGCTCGCTCCTTCTTCTCTCATTTTTGCTCCTCCATCTCCTCCATCCGCTGCCTCCTCCTCCTCCTTTTCCACCTCCACCTCAAGCTCGTCCTCGCTCGTCCTCCGCTCTCATTGCCATGCTCATGCTGCAGTTCTCAGGTCGAGCAGCTCGAGTACGGCAAGTCTATCACAGGTGAGCTGAGCACATGGGAGGAGGAGCAAATGAGAGCTGCTACAGATGCCTGCATGGACATCGAGAGCACCGTCAAGGTTCATTTCACTTCTCCTACACGTGAAGTGTCTGTCCTCTGTTCCTCCCGTCACCGTGCTCGTCCTCCCCACTCTCTCTCCTCCTCTGCCTCCCTAAGTCTCACGCTTGAGCTGGATGTTCAGGTCATTGAACAATTCGCGGAGGCAGTGAAGGCCAGAAGGAGGCGAATAGATGACAAGTGAAGGAACTGCTGCTAGACGTTTGAAGACATCACTTTCTGATTCTCCTCCCTCCCTCCCCATTTCTCCTTCAATACCATCACCTCCTGCACCTCCTCCTCCTCCATCACCACCACATCCCTTCTCTCACTACTTCCAACAGCATGAAAGCTTTTTCTCTTTAATCTCCAATTTTTTTATCTTTAGGGGGAAAACGCCTGCAGCCATTCATCTACCTGCCCTCCAGCTCACATGTCCTGAAAAGAGGATGCAAAATTGCATCAACTTTCCGCCTCCTGCCCTCATCCTCTCCTATCTTCCGTCATGTCCAACCGCTTCATGCCAAACTCGCCGAGTATCCCATGAACGTAGTACTGAGCATCCTCGAGCACAGCAAGAACTTTCCTCAGACTAAAGGTCCATTTGCACAACATTCCACAAGATCATATACCTTATCGATCTCAACCTTCACCGCCACCGTGACAACAGCACATGGGCAAAAGAGCGCAAGAATGAATAAGCAACCGTCAATTCAGTGCCGACGGCTCCGAACAAATCGCTGTGGTCCCGAACGGCCAGTTCCAACTTCCTCCTCCTCGATGATGGCGCTGGAAGCCAACCTCATCAGCTCTACTAACACATAATCCCCTGATATCTGAATGCTCCTCAGGCGTTGCATCGGTGTCTCCCCAGACATGAAGTCCATCTTGTCCGTCAACTGCTCAAAGTACTGCATCACAGATGCAACAGCGAAGTACAGTTGGCTCAGATCAGCATTTGTCTCCTCGAAGAATTCACCATATCTGTTGGCTAGCTGTACAGGAGAGAATCTTCGAAGGCGATTCATAGGCGACTGGTCGTCTCCATCATCCGCGCCCTCCTCATTCCAATGGCACTCAGCTGTGATCAGATCTGGTGCTGCAATCATCAGCGCAACAGCTGCGTAAAATGCGCTTCTGCAGACTGCATAATGCAAAGCATTCCCCTGGTGAACAGTCACTGTTCTTTCCTGTCCATTGTCGTTGATAACCAAACTAAAACTAGCCCTGAGCTCCATCGCCGAGGCAATCGCTCCGTCAGTGTCCAAAAGGAGACGCCGGATCTCCTCGAAGTTGTTATTTGTTAAAGAAGTTTTGATCGCTTGCATCGCTTCTGATGCATGACTATCCGGCTCCTGACCATTTTCTATTTCATCCCCTTCCCTTGATGCCATCACAAGCGCTTTCATGATGTTGAGGGCAGTTTTCACCGTGCTCATCTGTATGCTCTGGATCCTTGAAGCTTCTGCTGCAATATCTATGGAACCATCTGTACCTTGCCCTTCCACTAGATGTGTAACGTCATGGCAGGATAAGCAAGTAAACGGCACAGAAAACATCGATCCCGGTTCTAGGTAAATATGATTCCAAAACCTCTCCCCAGTCTGCTTTTGACAGACAAGACACCTCGAACATTCTTCAGTACTGTAGACTGCAGATTCAAGTGTTCTCATGTCATCAACGTCCGTCTCGTCGCCGCAGAGGATTGTCCATGGCTGGCCGAGGAGCTCCGTGTCTTCAAACCCAAACAACTGATTCATCTGCGCAGAAGCATACACAATGGGCGAACCATTCCTGGACATATCAAGCAGAACGAAGGCTGAAGCATCTTGTCCTAGCTCCTCCTCAAGATCGGCTGTCAGATGCTCCCATGCCTCTGCCTCCCCAGCGTTGATGTCATACGCCGGCGCCATGCTCGCTCGAGCGCCGCCGCTCTCGCTGACCCCTACCCCCTCACGCTACCCTAAACACCTACCCAGTCAAATCTTTGCACCCTAGCCCCTCTTCCATATTAGCCCAAGGGCTTCCTCTCACCCCTTGTTTTTCCATAAAAATCACCCACCTCCTAGTATTTGACCCTACCCCTGAGCTGAGAGGTATGTTGTACCCAAGTTTGTCCTGAACAAATGCGGGAAAATGATGGTAGGGTCATGACCCCAAGTTATGACTACCCCTGTTTTAGAGATCGATTGCCACCGACGTAAAGTCTCCCCTCTAACCCCCTTGACTACCCCTGTTGTTCACAGCACCTACCCATCCCTTTACTACCCCCGAACGTCCTTTGTACTACCCCGAATTCCTCTGCAACCCTTGCCAAATTAAACCCCACCCCTCCATATCCCTGCAATTGACCCACTGTTCCCAGATTACAACCCCTTCCTGACCCCCGAGGTACAACCCCATGTTATTAAACCTGGAGTACCCCTCCTTCCTATGCATGACTTTGGGAGAGACCACCCACCCCCTGTATCATGGTCTTCTGTACCACAGAGGACCATTGGAATCTCTTGTTATACTACCCCGTCCATGTTGTTTTGATCCGGGCCTATCCCTGCTCGGACCCCTCCTAGATCTGCATGACTTGAAGGACCCCTCCCTCCTGGGACCCACCCCCTCATACCCCATTCAAGCAGTCCAGTTCAAACACGGATGGTACGGTACAGCGCTTCCAGTCATTGCCATAGAGGGGTAGAGGCCATAGGGCCTACACCGAGCCATATAGACTTGGTCCTATAGACATGTATACCCCACCCTCAAACAATTTGGAAAACACTGGGTACAGTGATCGTGATATTACCCCACCCCCTGCAAATGATCAGTATAAAATATCTTAATTTTAAATTGAGTTTTATCTTTATAAAACCCGGGCATTTCGAACCACCCTTACAAACTCTATGTAAAACCACAGTCATGCAGAGGTCTCCGTGACCTGATTTTTAAAATTAAAAAATGCATTGCCCTCTTTGCTAATTCAAAGGACCCCACCCCTCTTTGGAGCTTTGACAACACCGAGCGATATCCAGACCCCACCCTGAACTAAACAAGTTCCGGTAGTCATGACCCCAATACTTGTCCTATGAGGTACCCCGTTATCATCAATACAAGAGTACCCTACCCCTCCTCTGATATCCCTACGACGCCCACCTCTGCAATCTGTTTGGAGGCTCAGGTTCGACTCTGACTTCCCGACTACCCTCTCATCAACAGGAGAATCCCTAAACAGGTGGGGTAGTCGGGTGAAAAGCAGAGGGCAGAAGCTACCAATTAGTAAAATGCTTCCCTCACAGGGCTACTCACATCCAGGGCAGAGCTATATGAAATAGGCAGCCACTCCCCTTTATAACGCAACGGTTCGTATTGTTGCCCTTCTCTATCGGCACAATTGGTCGGCAATGGGTTGAATCTCAACGGTTCGCATTGTTGCCCTTCGCTACTTTTGAACTCCGCGCAACGCCTCTCACGGCACTTGAGTAAAAGTCGCCCGGTAGTGTCGGGCCCGGCTGGACGGGCCGGAGTCCCGGGCCCGGGGCAAGAAGCAGAATCTTTTTACCGGAAATAGCGCCGCCCGAAGTGGCATGCGCCATTGAGCACTATGCTGTAGCTCGAAGTGCGAATGAGGCAGAGAATTGAGGTCAAGATGGCGAGACAGACAAGATGATAGAAATGCAGGATGATTGATGGACGGGTGGATTGACGGAAGGACGGAAGGACGGATAGATGGAAGAGATTTGCAACTGCAGGAGAGCAGGAATTGGATGAGTGAGTGGGGTTGCGGCCAAGAGAAATTAGGTGTGAAGATGGGAAGGTGCTGGAAAAGATGAAGTTATTCGATTTGAAGTGAGAGGATTGCAATGGATTATGGTAGGATGTATGTACAGAAATTGACAAAGACATGGATAAGAGTCTGAAGCTCCCCACTTGTTAGCCTCCAATACAGCACCGCTAACGAAGTCTTAGAGACATGACGATGTTCTTTCTGGTCGTGTTTGTTGACATGAAGTTATTCAGATGTTCTCCAACCTTCTTCGCACAACCCTCAAGGGTGACGACACTCCCATCACCTCCAAGGAGGCTGTACGCATGCTCCTGCCCTGTTACCATGTTTGCTGAAGCAGCAGCAGGCCAAGGTCGCTTCCCTCAACGGAGCTGGTTTCTTCGATCCCTTCAGCGCCGAGAAGGCCCGACAGGTGATGAGGATGGTTGAGGAGCGGGGAGGAGGAGGAGCGGGGAGGAGGAGCGTTGTTAGCGCTAACCGCGATGGCAATACAGGGAGCTGACAAGATGAACAACATCATTGCCATGTACACTCGGTAAACGCAGTCGGCAGCAAGGGACCACGGAAAATTGTAAATCTTTCAACCTGAATCAAAGAGTGCTTGCAACTTGACTGGTGTGTGTACTGGTGTGCTACTGTACGACAAGGTGGTACGTTGACCCCACGCTCTCCTTCATGTCCTCTATCATCAGTAGGGTCGTCTCCCACGCGTTGACCCACCTGCCGTCCTGCTGTCATCGACACGCGTCCTCCTCTCGCCCCGTACCTTGCCGCATCGTACAGAGCGCTTCCTACCCGATCTTCCGCCACCTTCCGCTTCAGTCGCGTCATGAGATACTCTGATCTTGCTAGACGCACTGCAATCTGCACGCATCGCCATGTTCAGGAGGGAGGAGGAGGAGGAGGAGGAGGAGAAGGCGCAGCAGCAGCAACAAAAGCAGCAGCGGCAGCAGATGACAACAAGTAGATCAAACTCATCATTGACCTCCTCGTAATCCTTGAGGTCTCTCGCTACCATGACACTGGCATGCCCCAGCCCGTTGGCAATGCTTGCTCCTATCCTGCTTGACATCCTTGTCCCTGCTCCTCGTCACTCGCGAGCACGGCCCCAGCTGCATTTCACCTGGCAGGGTGATGAGGGGTACCCCCGCAAAGAGCGCGTCAGCAGCCGTGGAGTGAGCGTTGTAGAGGTCCGTGTCCAGCAGGAGGTCAGCTGCACTCTACGAGGGGCTATGAGATTATGGTCACAGAGGAGAGGAGGAAGAGGAAGGAGGACGGGGGAGTGGGGGATGGGGGATGGGGGATGGGGGACGGGGGACGGGGGATGGATCAGAGTGGAGGTGAGAGGAGGGAGAGCAGGAGGGACCTTGTACGCCACGTGATCCTTGAGATCGGCGGAACCCGTGAAGAAGAGTCTCCCTTCGTCGATCCCCTGCCTCCTGGCCTCTGCCTTCAGCTGCGGCTCTGCTCAACTCCATGGTCACTCGAGTTGGGGAGCACCTCAGGAGGAGGACGAGGAAAAGGAGGACGAGGACGAGGACGAGGACGAGGACGAGGACGAGGACGAGGAAATCGCGGCCAGGGGAGAGGCGGAAAGATAGAATGGGGAGCAGGGGTTCGGGAGGAAGAGCGGGAGAGGAGGAGGAGGTCGACAAGGGAGTGGAGGAGGAGGAGAAGGAGGGTTGCAAGGCACCTGCAGAAGTTCCTTCATTGAGCTTGAGGATCCAAATCTGACTGAATACAAGTAGTGAGAAAAGAAGGTGAGACAAGGAGGGAGGGAGGGTTTAGGAGAGGAGGGAGAGGGGGGGA